AACTGGGGTGCTGCTGGGTTGCTCCAGTAGCGCCGAGGAGCGGCGCTGCGGGACCAACCCAGCAGCGCCCCAGCTGCTCTACCCCAGGCATCGTGGGCAGAAAAGCCTGGTCTGCTGGGGGGGAGGGGGCACTAGCTGCGCCTCCCCCCCCTCTCCAGCGGGCGTCCTCCGCGGCTTTGCTCCGCGTCTCCCTGGTCTGACCAGCAGACCAGAGACGGGGAGCAGCTTTTCTCGCCCCGGAGGACGCGGGCGGCGGTCCCCCCCGTCTCCCTGGTCTGACCAGCAGACCAGGGAGATGGGGAGCAGCTTTTCTCGCCCTGGAGAACGCGGGCGGCGGGACCGCGGCTCATCTGGGCGTCCCGCCGCTCCCGTCCTCCGGGGCGAGAAAAGCCCCGTTCGTAACTGCAGATCCTATGTAAGTCAGATCCGTGTAACTCGGGGACTGCCTGTATTACTAAACAGGCAAAAGACGGGTTGGTGTTCTAAGCATCAGGTTTGAAATATCTTCAGTTTCCTTGAACCACAGGTTTGTAACTCATAGGACTAAGCTCTAGCAATTTATATCTGAACAGTTTCAGTGATTATTTGGATGAGTCCTGTCTTTTATCTGCTCTATGTGGACATGAAAGAGTCTAGGGCACTTTTTCTACAAGTCGGAGTTTGTCCTAGTGCTTATGGCCCAAATGCCCTTTCTTTCACTGTTGTCTTGTATAACTGATGTGAACTCAATTGCTGTCCTCTCCACCTCACAAGTGGCTGTTTTTCAGGTGCTATATGTAGTCTGAGAGCAACTTTGGGAAGAAAAGTGTAATACAAATGTTTAAAAAAATCCGCATCTAGATATTGTTGCATTTATTTTGGTTTTTCAAGCTCCTCTCTAGCATTCTAGATGCTGTACACACTGTACAAAAATCTAGAAAATGGTAAATAGACCCCAAACTTTCCACCCAAAGGAAGACAGTTGTGACTCCTGGGCACCATGTTACAACAGGAAAGGCTGCTCACCAGAAGGGATGGGATGGAACACATGGGTTCAATTACTTACTTACTATAGGGGTTACACCATACTCGGGGATCAGGGGGTTATCAATCTCCATCCTTTCCCCCAGGGTCATTGGAGTTTAAAGACTGGAAAACAACAGGAGGTTCTTTTTGCATTGAAGTGGGGACGCAGTCTCATATTCTACTGGGATGGAGAGGGAACTAACCCTTTATACTTCAGTCCCAGACTCCCATGGAGGCAGGAAACACTGTCCTTTTACTATTCTCCTGGAGGGCTGCTGCTCTTAGCCAGAGATATACTCGTTTTTTTTCCCAGGAAGACACATTAATTTATCTAGGTATTTGCTTAGTTTTATAACAAGCTATTTAGAAAGCAAAGTCAGTAGAAGCTAAAATTTCACACGATGACTTGTTTATACTGCAGTATATACTATGTCCGATGCTTAAATTCCAATGGATTTTATAATCACATGGCAAAAATGAGAAAGGAAGCAATGGCCCAATAACAGTGGGCTGTGGCAGTTTTGTATTTTTCTGTCTGACTTTGTAAGCAGCTAGGTTTGAAATGAGGTGGAATTTGGGGGTAAGCAAGTGAAATCAGACCCCCTGAAAGGGCTACAACTGTCTGGAAAGGTTGAAAAAGTCTCGGGGGAGGGGGAGTCTCTAGGGTGCCACGGGACTACTGGTAGTTTTGGAAAGCGCTGAACTAGGGGAAGAATTTCCATTGGGGGGAGGGGTTGACCCAGGTCTCTTGT